GGGAATCAGAGCACCTGAGGTGGACACCGGAGATCAGTAGGTTAAGGTCATCATCAATACAGAGTTCTAAGCTGGGCTAAATGAGACACAAGAAAAAAGTTATGTGAGAGCCACAAACCAGAAAAAGTACAAATTCTGTCAGTAATAAAAATGTGCAGCCGGGCGATGGTGGCGCACGCCTTTAATCCCAGCACTCAGGAGGCAGAGGCAGGCGGATCTCTGTGAGTTGGAGACCAGCCTGGTCTACAAGAGCTAGTTCCAGGACAGGCTCCAAAGCTACAGAGAAACCCTGTCTCGAAAAACCAAAAAAATAAAATAAAATAAAATAAAATAAACATGTGCAAACAAGGTGCCCTGTAGAGATGGCTCAGCAGTTAAGAGCACTTATCCTTTTGTTTGTTTGTTTTGTTTTTTGTTTTATAGAGAGAAGATTTCTCTGTAGCTTTGGAGCCTGTCCAGGAACTCACTCTGTAGACCAGGCTGGTCTCAAACTCAGAGATCCGCCAGCCTCTGCCTCCCAAGTGCTGGAATTAAAGGCATGCAACACCATTGTCTGGGCCCAGATTCAACTCCTAGTATCCACGTGGTAGCTCCAGTCCCAAGGGATCCAAAACACTTTTCTGACCTTTGTAGGTACCAGGTATAAATAGCATGTTGTACACATGCACACATGCAGGTAAAACACACTCAAAATAAACTTTTAAAAAAGCCTCACATTTCTCTAAATAGGATTAACAAGTTTAGCTGTGGGACTTACATCAAGTAGCAAGAATGTTAATGCAAACCTAGATAAAACTTGCCTTTTTTTTTTTTTTACTTTAATACTGAACTTGGGCTTAAGTTTCACTACCAATCAATTAGTAGTTTATAACTCTATCAACTCTGCCTTACTTAAGACCCACTAACATCTACCATAATTTTCTAATATGAATATCCTTCTTGAGCGGCTGGATTTTTTTTCCACTAATTATATTTTCTGGGTTTCCAAAGTCACCTGGTGGAAAATACTGCCTATTCACATATTAGCGATATGTAGATTAAGGGACCTAGTTTAAAGTCACATCAATACTATTAACATCAACTTTCAATTCAGTAATGTGTCTTCTCTAAGAGATGTCTCTTTAAACAGAATAAGGGGTTAGAGAGAAGGTTCATCAATTCAGAGCACTGGCTACTTTTCCAGAGAATAGGAATTCCCAGCCCCTACTCTATGGCTCACAACTGTCTATAATTCCAGTTCCAAGGGATCCGATGCCCTCTTCTGGCCTCAGTGGGGACCAAGCACACAAACGACAAACAAGCAAACATGAAGGTAAAACACCCATACAAATAAAGTAAAAAATACTTAAGATTTTTCTTTTTTTTGTTTTTTTTTAAATATTTATTTATTTATTATGTATACAATATTCTGTCTGTGTGTATGTCTGCAGGCCAGAAGAGGGCACCAGACCTCATTACAGATGGTTGTGAGCCACCATGTGGTTGCTGGGAATTGAACTCAGGACCTTTGGAAGAGCAGGCAATGCTCTTAACCGCTGAGCCATCTCTCCAGCCCCAAGATTTTTCGAAAATAAAATAGAACCATAAAACCTTAACCAGGTAACACATTATAACTTGAATAAAAATAAACAGCACTCCAAAATGTACTCCCCTTTCAAGATCATTAATTCCAGAGACAAGCAGATCTGCTTGTGTTCCAGGACAGCCAGGGCTATAGAGGGAAAAACCCTGTCTTAAAAACTAAATACTGCGCTGGGCAGTGATGGTGGACGGCTTTAATCCCACCATTCGGGAGGCAGAGGCAGGCAGGCCTTTTTTTGAGTTCAAGGCCAGCCTAGTCTACAAGAGCTAGTTCCAGGACAGGCTCTAAAGCTACAGAAAAACCTTATCTTGAAAATAAAAAAAAAAAATAAAAAAAAAGAAGAAAACCAAACAAAAAGCACCACTAAATACTGCCAGGCAGTGGTGGCATACAGCTTTAATCCCAGCAAACAGGAGGCAGAATCAGGCAGATCTCTGAGATCTGAGGCCAGCCTGGTCTACTGAGCGAGTCCCAGGACAGCCAAAACTGTTACACAGAGAAACCCTGTCTCAGAAAAAAATTAAAAAAAAATAGCTTCAGTTGATACCCTTCACATGATGTGCTCAAGGTAAAGGTTACGGAGTACATGGAAAAGTGAGGTTCGCCCTGCAAGGAGAAAAAAAGAATGCCTGAAAGGAACATAACACACTTAAAAAGTATTCGCAAATGTAGACAGTGATGTTTTAAGAAAGATGTTAAAGAGATAGTAACTGTAGTGGTACCCAAACATTGCAGGACAAAAAGTCATAGGACTACGAAAGAAATGACTTGAAATGGAGACTAGGATTAAGAAAACAGACTCTTCTAAAACAGCATAGACAGTCCCAGTACGGATGATTCAGAGACAGAAAGACTGAAGCAAAGGGAGAGAACAAGACTGAGGGGGATGACCTAGTAGACCCTTCAAAACTGGGACAAAAGTCTTGGTTGTAAAGTCTGCACTGATTTAAGCTCTAACTAAATGAAAGTCATTTGCTTTCAAACTTTAATTTGGCTTTATTTCAGCAATTCAAAACCAAAATAACTCAGTTGTTCTGGGCACTTGAATAAAATATCTTGGAAATAATTTTATTGATTAAAATAAAAAACATTAATTTTATTTTGGTTTGTTCAAGACAGGGTATCTCTGTGCAACAGCTCTGGCTGTCCTGGAACTCACTTTGTAGACCAAATTCAAGATCCGACTGCCTCCACCTCCCCAGCGCTAGGATTAAAGGCAAGGAAGACATGGACCTCTACCACCTGGCAATATTTTCTAATTTTACAATAGCACTTTCTGGAACTGCCAAGAGTTCTCAAACTTCTAGAAAGTATTCGAAACGCTAAAACAAAATGCCTGATCAGAAAACAACGGAATGTCAGCTGAGCACACTTAAACACTTCTCATAACCCTGAAACAGTGAAGCAGATGGAAACAATAAAAGAGCTTTGCAATTCTTGTATTGGTACAGTCCTAGACAAGCAGTCATATACAAAGCCCAGCAGCAACCAAGTAGAAAACCATACCAAATCTTGGACTAAACATGAAACAAGGAGTAAAGTCAATACTGTCTTAAGATTTAATACTGAAGTAGCTACATAAGCATAAGAAAATAGGCCTCTGTAATGCCCTCCACAATTTATTATCCCTAAGTTTGTAATAACTCCAAATGCGACACAAACAAGGCCTCATATACAGGCCTCTTGCCTTTTTCTAACACAACTAAGACCTTTGTTCCCCGCATCAGTTTTTTACCCTATTCAATAAAAGCTCTTTCAACTTTCTACCACGTTGTTTTTAAGAGATGAGATTCTAAGCCTCAACTTGCCAAGTCTTTAAAAAATTTAATGCTAAAAATATCTAGAATCAAGAAAAAGAGTAAGTTAAAAAAAAAAAAAAAAAAACACCACTACAAGGCCTACAAACCGATGAAAGCCTGAAGATCGGGTGATTTGGCAGCCCAGGCCAGATCGCGAGCTCAAACTAGGGAGACAGGAGAGCGGTTAGACCACTCGGAACAGAGGGCGCTATCAACCGCCCCCCCACCCCCACCCCACCCCCACGTTTACCTAGTAACATTCCCGCCCCCAATTAACGGAGCGAGGACACTAAAACCCAGCACCCCGGCAAGAAGCTACAGCTAAAGCCTCTCCCAGAGAAAAACAAAACGTAGTAACAAACCAATCTGCTGGAAGGGTGGGAAGCCGCCCTTGCTGTTCCCCTCTTCGCCTCAGAGGTAATCAGTCCCTCCCGTCCACCTAGTTAGTCAAAAGGTGTAATTTAGCCGCCACCACCACCACCCCCATCTACATTTTCTTTCTTTCTTTTCAATTCTAGTAATGTTTCTCCGTTCTAACTAATTAATGTTATCTGCTATTCCCGAGGAAGTGAACGGCAGGAGGCTGGGTCTTAAAACCTTCGTTTTCTGAACATCCCTGGAACTTGTTTCCCTAACCAGAAACGCACTCGCTGATCACAAGGAAGAGATGAACTGACGGACAAACGTGTAATAGGTTTTATGTAATCCACATATATTAATCGCCTGACTCGCTTTGAATGCTAATACGATCGGGATGACAAACGGCCCACCGCCCTCTCCCGGGCCCCGGTTAACCTCTGCGTCCTATGCCCCTGCTGGTCTTCTCCGAGGATGCTGCTTCCCTCCGCCAAGTTTCTCGGCCTCTCCCGCGGCCCCTGCCAGCCCGACGGGCACGTCGTCGTTTCTCCCTCAGCCTCGACTTCCCCGGCTGGAAAAGCCTCCCTCCTCCCCGCGCTGGCTCGCCCGGGCTCGCCCGCCCCCAACCGTCCCCCACAACAGGAAGACCCTTACCGCGGCCCAAAGTCACCCCCGCCTCTCCCTCCTCAGACCCTTGCCTCCCAACAGTTGTCACTCGAGCTGCTCCTTAGTTTCCATTTCCGGGCCATCCACAGCCCAAAACCTCCCTTTCCCTGTTTCCGGGCCCCCCGTCCCATTTCCGGGGAACCCTTTGCCGTCTTCACGCCCCCACCTGCACTTCCGGCCCCCCACTTTCTCTCTTCCTAGACGCCCTCCAGGCTCCAAAGACCACTTCCGGTCCCCTCCCGCCCCCCGCTGGGCTCCCCCAGACCCGCACGCCCTACCCAGGTTCCGCCTAGGGCCTTCCTCATCGCGGGAGGCCAGAGCGGGAGGGGGAGGACCCAGCGCTCCCCCACACACCCCGAGCCAGTCGGCCCCGGCTCCTGAGGCCGCGGGGCTCGCTCGAGCGCCTCACCCGTCAGCCTCGGGCTGGTCCTTCCGCGGGCCCGCCGCCAGCGGCGGCAAGTCGGACCGAGAGCCGCGTCGCCACGATGACACGAGCGGGCTGCTGGCGACTTTCGGCTCAGGCTTCCCAGGCCTCCTCATCGCCTCCCCCCTCCCCCAAGGCCCAATCCCGCCGCTCCGAACGGCGTCCCAATTACCTAGTTAGGCCCCAAAGTCTCCGGTCCGGACTCGGTGGCGCGACGGCAACTTCCACGGGCTCCCCCCACCCCCCCCAGCGGCGGCGGTGGCGGCGGCTTGTCGTCCCTTCAATTATCAGCTGAGCCGCAGCACCGCTCCGCTGTGCGCCTCCGCCCGCGCCGCCTCCCTCCCCGCCCGCTCGGCTCCAGCCGGGGACTACTTTGCCCTGAGGCCCCGGCCTGCGGGATCTTCCGCAGGACCAGCCCCGCCACCTATTTACAGCCCAGCATATCGCCCCTCCCTCCCCGGCGCTCCGCTCCGCTCGGCGAGCAGCCTCGAGTCTCCTTCCGATCCCTTCAAGGGACCAGGAAGGGGACTGTGGCACTCCACTTGGTATCCCTCCGCTGGGGTCACCCCCGCCCCTCCGCGCTAGCAGGAACTAAATTCCACTTCGGGTCACCCCGGGACCTGATTGTAAAAAATTCACAAAGCAGGGCTCCTCGTGACCCCTGGTCAAGGAAACCACCACACCAAGTTAAAACCCCCAGTGCCAACTCAAAAAGCGGGCTTCGCTTTAAACTGGGGCTGCGGCCCCCTGACCCCTGTCAAGCCCCGCCCCTTCCTGGTTGTCTTAGCGACGGCGGTGGCGTCCCAAGATGGCGTCGTGGCTGCCGGAGACTCTGTTTGAAATTGTAGGACAAGGCCCGGCGCCGAGCAAAGACTATTACCAGTTGTTGGTCACTCGGACTCAGGCAAGTGCGAGCCGCGGGTTCCTGTCTCTCCTGACCCCCTTTCCCGCCCGGCCGGGCCCCGCGATGAGGCCCGCTCCAGGCAAACAGCCACCGTGGCCTGCCGGAAGCGCCGCGTCTCAGCTCACAGCGAGAGATCTCCCCTCGTCACCTCGGCTCCGCGGCCTGAGTAGGTTCTCTCCCCGAGGCCGTCTTGTCCCTGGCGAGCCTTCCTTGCCGTCCCCCCTCCCCCAGTGCCGACCGCTTCCCTTCCTACCTCCCGGATTCCTACCCGCTGCGTTCCCTCCGCGCGCCGGAGAAAAACAGGCGTCCCTGCTTGCGTGCCGCCTCACCTCAGCGTGGGAAGGAGGGAAAGAAAGACTCAGCCAAGTGTCCCAAGGTGGAGCCGGCAGGGGGAGAAAGGGACGGTCTCTTCCAGGGTAGGACTTAATCCTGGGGGATTTTTTTTTTTTTTTTTTTTGAAGAACCTCAAGGTGGCCTCTACAATTACCACATCAAAATTCCTCTTTCTAACAGGAATGACTGACTGAACGTTCTTTCCTTACCTTACTGGAGCCCCTTCTATCCCTTTGAAAGTGTGTGGGGGGGGGACAACAAAAATGTTTCAGCTGCTCTGCTCATCAGCCCCACCCATAATGACATCTGCTCCACAACAATAAGAACGAGGATTATGTTATCGCTGGAGTAAAGTAACCCCGGGGGCCTTTTTTCCTCCAAGTGTTTTGGTTGTCAAGGGTAGGTTTTGGATAACGTATTGCGCCACGAGTTACTCTGGTTGATCTGGGCCTCCACTGAGAACACTGCAGATTCCTGGCCGAGCTTATCCAATCATTAAGCTGTTCATGTACCCCCAAATTTTAATAGGCCATATTCTTATAAAATTACGTTTAAAAACTTGTATTAGTTTGGGTCTTGGTGATGATTATCCCATCTATCTTTGTTCCAGGAGCCGTCAAACAAAAGCGTCATGAATTAATATTTCTTTTAACCTGTAAAACAGTAATGATGCATGCATTATACCTAATAATCCTGCAAATGTAATAGCCTGTCTGTTTTTAATTATTTTAACTTATTAAGAATTTGACAGTAAAGATTTTGAAGGTTTTGGTTGGGTTTATATGTGAAGTTGGTGTTGGTTTGGTTTCTTTGTTTTTGGTTTGAGACAGGGTCTCACTATATAGCCCTGGATGGCCTGGAACTCAATGTGTATACCGAGCTGGCCCTGAACTTAGGGAAATCCACCTCCTCTGCCTCTTGAGTTAGGCAATGCACCAACCTTGAGAGGTGAGGGTTTTGTTTGTTCTGGTTTTTTAAAATATTATTTTATGTACATTGGTGTTCTGTCCATGTTGTTCTAGAAGAGTCTTTTTGTTTTCTTAATCCCAGTCTCCATTTCAAGTCATTTCTTTCATAGTCCTATGACTTTTTCTCCTGTGTGAGGGTTTCAGATCTTAGAGTAACAGGTCGTTTGAGCTGCCATGTAGGTGCTGGGATTTGAACCCAGGTCCTCTGAAAGAGCAATTAGAGCTCTTAACCACTGAGCCATCTCTCCAACCCTGAGATAAGGGTTTCATTGGGTGGTTTGGTGTTACTTTGTTTTCCTTTTTTTTGGCCCTGTGATGGGTAGAACCCAAGGCCTTCTGCTTGCTAGACAATTTTACTACTGAGCCAGATCTCCCCCATCCGTATTAGCTTTAAGATCTATGATCCTGCTGGAGAGATGGCTCAGTGGTTAAGAGCTTTGCCTGCTCTTCCAGAGGTCCTGAGTTCAATTCCCGGCAATCACATGGTGGCTCACAAGCATCTGTAATGAGGTCTGGTGCCTTCTTCTGACCTGCAGACATACACACAGGCAGAATATTGTATACATAATAAATAAATATTTTAAAAAAAGATCTATGATCCTAATAATTCTTCACTCTTTGTATGACTGACTGCATCTTTAAAATTGTTCTTTTGAACATTTTTTTCCTTGAAGGTCTGGTGTCACAAGAGGGTTTCTCACCCTCACTCAGCCTTACCCCCAGGGGTGTCTTAAGTCTCAGTGAATTGGGAATATCTGTCTACATGCCATCCTCTAATTAATCTGCTATGTGAAAACTACCCAAAATATTCTTAACTTTCGTTTTCATTTTAAAGACAGAGTATCCTGTGGCCCAGACTGTCTTGAATTCCTGATCTTTCTGCCTCTGCCTCCCAAGGGCTAGGATTATTACAGACATGAACCATAATGTCTGACATTCTTAAAAGAAGAGGAAGAAAAGAAGAAGGGCCGCAAGGAAAGAAAGAAATCCTTTTTTTGAGCCCAGAGGGTGGTGGCGCACGCCTTTAATCCCAGCACTCTGGAGGCCACCGAGGATCTCTGTGAGTTCAAGGCCAACCTGGGCTATGAGAGCTAGCTCCAGGTCAGGCTCCAAAGCTACAGAGAAACACTGTCTCGAAAAACCAAAAAAGAAAAAGAAAGAAAGAAAGAAAGAAAGGAAAGAAAGAAAGAAAGAAAGAAAGAAAGAAAGAAAGAAAGAGAGAGAAGAAATCCCTTTTCATTAACATATAAACCTCTGTTCTTTAAACTAGGAATAGTGGCACAGACCTTTAATTGCAGCACTAGAGAGGTAGAGACGGAGAATCTCCAAGTTCAAGGCAAGTCTGGTCTACATAGGGAGTTACAGGCCAGGAAGGGATACATAATGAAGCCTTGTCTCAAAAATTAGTAAGTAAACTGTTTTTAAAGGACTCTTACTTGAGGCCATATTCTTTTTTATCACTCACTCAACACATAAAATCCCTCTAAAGACCTAGTCCAGTTTCGTTATCAAATACACTACAGTTCTACAAGGAAGAGTTCACTTCAAATCTGATTAAGTTGCCCTCTTTTCAAAATAAAATTTGTTGTAAAAAATAAGTCAAAAGGGTCTGGAGAGATGGCTCAGCATGCTCTTCCAGAGGACCCAGGTTCAGTTCCCAGCACCCCCATGGCAGTTGTCTGTAACTCCAGCTTCCAGGAAACCAGACACCCATGGCAACGCACCAATACACATAAAATAAAAATAAATTTATTTTTAAAGTGTTATATAAAGAAGTCTAAAATAATTTTTTTTGAGAGGCAGTGGTGGTATATACTTTTAATACCAGCCCTCAGGAGACAAAGGCTGACAGATCTTGATGAGTTTGAGACCAGCCTGGTCTNCCATGGCAACGCACCAATACACATAAAATAAAAATAAATTTATTTTTAAAGTGTTATATAAAGAAGTCTAAAATAATTTTAGTCTTGAAATATACTTTGTCTAAGGACAGGATAGTTTTTATAAGTCTATATACAGGAAATGGAATACTTAGTAAGAGGTAGCCTGGCATAAGTATTTAAAAACTGTCCTATAAACCACTCTCTCTGGAGAAAGCCATGTCTCTCTTCTCTGTGGATGCCCAGTTTAACCCTTTTTAAATCTTTTTTTTTTTTTTTTTGAGAGGCAGTGGTGGTATATACTTTTAATACCAGCCCTCAGGAGACAAAGGCTGACAGATCTTGATGAGTTTGAGACCAGCCTGGTCTATAGAGGGAGTTCCAGGACAGCCAGGACCACCAAAAAAAAATTTTTTATTTATTTTTTTTTTTTTTACTTGCCTGGTATAGTGTAATCCCAGTATCTGGTAGACAGAAGCAAAACTATTGAAAATTCAAGGCCAGCCTGGTCTGCAGAGCAGTTCCAGGACATCCAGAGCTACATAGACCCAGTCTCAAAAACCACAAACCCAAAAATTAAGGCCTTGTGTTCCAGGCATAGTGGCACACACCTTTAGTCCCAGCACTTGGGAGGCAGGCAGACGGATCTGTGAGTTCCAGTACAACCTGGCACTATCTCTTGTGCTAGCAGGGCACTTGCCACTAAACCTGATGACGTGAGTTTGATCCCGGGGACCCATACGGAGAGGATGGACTCCTACAAGTTGTCCTCTTCGACCTTGACTTTCTCATGTATGTTATGGTCTTTATGTGCTCATGTTCCCCCTCCACATACACACACACCAAGAGAGAGAGGGGGACTTTAGTAACCTTGAATTCACAGACGTCCCCCCCACCCCACCTCTACCTCTTGAGAGCTACTATTGAAGGCATGTACCACCATCACTATACCACCTAACCATCTCAGTATTCTGTCCTCAGAGTCTCTGTTTAGTCCAAGCTGGCTTCAGACTCGCCTTAGTGGTGGAATCGCAGACATTCACTAACCATACCTGGCATATGCTTTTATTCCTACAGAGGCATTCTCAGTGAATAACTTAATGCTATAAAGCACATTCCTGACCTGGCGGTGGTGGTGCACGCCTTTAATCCCAGCACTCGGGAGGCAGAGGCAGGCGGATCTCTGTGAGTTCGAGACCAGCCTGGTCTACAGAGCTAGTTCCAGGACAGGCTCCAAACCAAAGCCACAGAAAAACCCTGTCTCAAAAAAACAAAACAAAACAAAAAAAAAAAAAAAAAAAAGGCACATCCCTGTAATCCTAGCACTCAAGAGGCTCAAGAGACTGAGTCAAGAAGATTTTAAGTATAAGGCCTTTGTGGGCTACATAGAAAGTCTGGGGCCAACTTGGCCTACAATGCAAGACCATCTCTAAATAGAAACAGGTCTGGCATGATGGTTAAAGGCACTTGCTGCTCAACCCGATGACCTGAGTTCAACCCCCAGGACCTACATGATGGAAGGAGAGAACCAAGCCCCCAAAGTTAGTTTCTGACTTTACATATGCACCATAGTACACACACATAAATACACACAAATAAATGTAATTTTAAATTTTATAATAAAAAACTTTCAAAGCATAGCTTGAGGCCAATGCAGTTCTATTCTCTAATCATGCCTTTAATATGATAATCCTAAGACTTAGAAAGACGAACACATTTTTCTTTTGCGGGAGTGGGATAGGGAAGTAGATAGGGCCTGTCTCTCTCTCTCCCTCTCCCTCTCTCTCTCTCTCTCTCTCTCTCTCCATATATATATACA